CCTCTTCCACTGTCTTTGCTTTCTTCCTGACTAGAGAGCCTCCTTTTAAGTTACCCTATAGTGTGCTGTTGCTGTGTGTGTGTAGACAGTCTTTATCAAGTTATCCTGATACCGGTTATAGTGTACTGTCGCTGTGTGTGTGTGTGTGTGTGTGTGTGTGTCCACACACACACACAGTCTTTATCAAATTAAGACTGTTTCCATCGCAGCAGCAGCCTACCTCTGCCGTCAAAGCAGTGACGTCATCACCTATCACCAGATGTCTCTCCACCATCAGCTATGGACCTGTGCATCCCTTAAAAGTGCCCGCTGGGCACAGCTCACTCTCTTGCCTCTTGTTCCTCTCTCCTCTTCTTCCTCTTGCCTCTTCCCTGTTTGTCTGTCTGTCTGCCTCTCTCATGTCCCCACTAGGACATGGCCTTTCACTCTTCCCCTTCCCTTAGAAACCTCCTGCACTAACTCGTGTTTGCTTAGTGGCATTTTTTTGACAGGGCCTGCTGAAAGGTACCCACTTCGCCTTTCTTTTTTAAAATCCTTTCAAAGGCAATTCCCTCTATGAGGGACTTTAAGTTGTGGAGAACTTAGACTGACATTTTGAAAACTCCTTTGGCAGCAGCGTGGAGAGCAGGCGTAAGAGCTCACCTGGAGAGAACTACCAGGGTGGAGGCGGTGGGTGTGAAGACACCCAACCCCAGATGGCTCTCCTGATCTTTTGTTTGGAGACCCTGAGATCAGAAGGGTTAACTGACTAACTCCTTCCCCTCCGGTAAGTGTCACAGCTCTGATGGAAAGGAATCCTGGCAATGGAGAGCCAAGGAATGCAGAGTATTACAGCCCCGGTGGAAGAGTATTCTGACAGTTGGCAGCCAGGGATTAGCACAGGTCACAATAAGCGTAGCGGTTTACACCCCTGGTCTAGGGAAAGGCTTCCCCAATGCAACAGCTCTGCTCTGCCAGGAGAGGGCGATCTGAGCAAAATTGTTCAGGCTCGGCTGGGCATTCTGGTACTCTGGAGTGTAGCAACTCTGCTAGGAGAAGAACAAAAGTGTTACAGCGGGGAGCGTTCCAGTCCCTCGTCTCTGCTCAGCTGAAGTGTTAACAGTGCCGTGCCGCTCCGCTCCTCTCCACTCCGTCGCTGCTCCGGCAAAAGATCTTCACCCACCACCTCATTCAAGAGAGTTATTGGGATGCAAGAATCCAGGAGAGAAGCCGCCGCTACCAGGGAGGAAGAAGAGCAGCCACAAACTAAACAGGCGCTGGGCTTAAACTTCTTAGGGGCGGAGTTTTCCCAAGAAGAAGAGGGATTGGTTAGTTTTTCCTGCTCAGGGATTGGTTAGTTTAGTTGGTCAAGGGCAGAGATGATTGATTTTAGGATCAACCTGTGTTTCTCTCACTGGCTTTTTTTTTTTTTTAAGCTTTTTGGCTCTAGTTTCAGGGCCAGTACATAATTCTTTCACTGGCTCTGATTCTAGGACCAAAGTGTGTTGCTTTGGCCCTGGTTTCAGAGTCAGGGTGTATTTCTTTGGTTCTGGGCATGTGGCTAAAATATTTCTTTCACTGGCTTGGGTCTCAGAGCCAAGGTGTGTTTCTTTCACTGGCTTGGGTCTCAGAGCCAGGGTGTGTTTCTTTCACTGGCTCTGGTTTCTGGGGGGGGGGGGGGTTCTTTGGCTGTCCCGTTTCCCCTACACCTCTTCCCCTGCTGGTTACATATTTCTGAAGACATTTCCCAGGATTTCTCAGTGAAGACCTGCATCCCTTCACACCCCAACAATTTATGTAATTTAACTTTGCTTTCGTATAATGCATATCTCTTTCAGTTTCTGTTGTCTGGTCCTGGAGACAGAGAGGAGACTAATTAAGTTGTTCTGTGAAGCCATACTCACAAATGAATCCCCAGCATTGCTGTGTGTACGGAGGCTAAGAGAACTCCACTGATACAGGATATGGGCAAGCTTTCCCGCTTGTGGAGTTCTGGGAGACCTTTGGTTGGTTGGTTTTTCTTTCCTTCTTTCTATTAATTTTCATACGTATGGGTGGTTTACCTATATACACATCTGTGTGCACATTTGCCTGGTGTGCACAGGTACCAAAAAAAAGGCATCCGATCTCCTGGGATTAGCATCACAGACAGTTGTGAGCTGTCATGTGGGTGCTGGGAATCAAACCTGGGTCCTCTGGGAGAGCAGCAAATGCTCATCAACCACTGAGCCATCTCTGCAGACCATCTCGGACTATCTTTAGCCTAATTAATACCTATTTGCTGCCCATTTCTGCGTCTGACTTACGGTTTTTCTTAGTAGACTACTAGCTTCCGCCACCCCAAAAGCTAAGCATGCCATCAGACAGCTCCAGAGGCTGCTAACAGAGGTTCCCAGCTCTCCTGTGTGTACTCTCCAGACAGGGCTGGCACACGCCTTTATCTCAGTACTAGCAGATCTCTGTGAGTTCAAGGCCAGCCTGGTCTCCAAGTTCCAGGACAGCCAAGGCTACACAGAGAAACCATGTCTTGAAAACAACAAACAAACAAAAAAAAAATAGGACACTTCCAAGAAGGAAGAGGACAGAACTGAGAGGAAACTTAGACTCTGAATGGCACCCAAATGCTGGAAGACCGAGACCTTAACATATCATTTTCTTTTTTTTTTTCTTTTTTTGATTTTCGAGACAGGGTTTCTCTGTAGCTTTTTGGTTCCTGTCCTGGAACTAGCTCATGTAGACCAGGCTGGCCTCGAACTCACAGAGATCCACCTGCCTCTGTCTCCCGAGTGCTGGGATTAAAGGCGTGCGCCACCACCACCCAGCTACATATCATTTTCAAAGTGGCTGCTTTTTCTCATTCTGCTCTGCAAAACACCAGCTTCAGTGGGGAAGGGTTTCTAGTCTGGTCCTCATTCATTCATTCATTCATTCATTCACCTATTCATTCATTTATGCCCCGGCAATACTTAAATATGCATGGGTAGCCCGTTTATCAAGGTTCTCCAGTTGTTCCTATCCTAGGCAGTCCTAGATGCTTGTTTTATTGTCATACCCAAGGTTCCACAGTCTTCCTTTATACTGTCTATCCAGCGTATTTGAGTGGGGGCTTCCTTTTTGCTTTATCCCGTGCACTCCTCCAAGCAGTGCTATCTTCCGGGATCTGCCCTCATTGATTCTCATAACATGGCTGAAGTATCTCAAGTGCCTTTGCCATAGCCTTCTGGAGATGGAGATGTTTCTTAATGTCATCGGTGCTCAGCCTGTCTCTTCGTGTGCCACCTAGAATCCTCCTGAGCCATGCCGTCTCGAACACATCAGCCACTGTTCTGAGGAGCGTTTCGTTGTCCAGGAGTACTAGTAGTCTTGACTATATTCCTCCTCAGCTCTTTACATTCTGCACTGGTGATTACAACATGAACCAAACTCATATACCTCTCACCAACAGAGCTATCTCCAGGGGCACAAAGAGGCACTGACCACTGAACCATTGAACAACACAGCCTATGTCTAGTTGTCTGAATGACCCCTGTTAATGTATTAAGGCTCAGTCAAAATTGTCACTTGTTGCTCTCCAGAGGCGCCAAGTTCGGACCCCAACACTCAAGTCAGGTGGCTATGCCAACCCCGTTATTGGACAGGGTGGAAGCGGGGGAGCACACACACATACTTATCTTTCAAAACAAAACAAGACAAAATTTAAAGATGGCTCTTCCTCAAGGTAGTTCCTCCTCCTGGAATCCTAACAACAGAACAATGCTATTAGGGTTGCTTTCGGAGTGAGCATGGATGACGGGTTTCAGGCTGGAGCTTGGGTGAGACGAAAGAAATGACATTTGACTGAATACAGCCAGCAAGCAAGATGACTTCTCCATGGCTGTACATACTTGGGCATCATCTCCCCAGAACCACGTGTAAATTATGGCAGTATTGTCTGTAATTGTCTGAGAAGGGTGGATGGATACTCAGAGGAGGGTCTCATGATCCTCCCTACCCACTCCTCAGATGAGGGTGTGTTAATTTGAACGCAATTGGCCTCCATAATCTCATAGGGAGTGTAGCAGAAACCAGAGACCTTAGGAGGATTCTAGGTGTCACACGAAGAGACAGGCTGAGCAGCGATGACATTAAGAAATATCTCCATCAGCCAGGCGGTGGTGGCACATGCCTTTAATCTCAGTACTCCAAAGACAGAGGCAGGCAGATCTCTGTGAGTTCGAGGCCAGCCTGATCTATAAGAGCTAGTTCCAGGACAGGCTCCAGAGCTACAGAGAAACCCTATCTCGAAAAACAACAACAACAAAAAAAAACAAAAACAAAAACAAAACAGAGAGAGAGAGAGACAGACAGACAGAGAGAGAGAGAGAGAGAGAGAGAGAGAGAGAGAGATCTCCATCTACAGAAGGATATGGCAAAGGCACTTGAGATACTTCGGCCATATTACAAGAATCAATGATGGCAGATACCCGAAGATAGCACTGCTTGGAGGAGCGCACGGGATAAGGCGAAGAGAAAGACCCAGAAAACGCTGGATAGACAGCATAAAGGAAGACTGTGGAACCTCGGGTATGACAATAACACAAGCATCTAGGACTGCCCAGGATAGGAACAACTGAACAACCATCATAAACAGCTGCCCATGCATGCTTAAGCATTGCTGGGGCATAAATGATGATGACTTTATAGTACTTCAGTATGCAAGGCTTGATGAGACGCAAGAGACAGACACACACAATGTGCCCCAGGCGTTCCTAGTCTCTCAACATTTTGTGCTAAAATAAACTTCTCCTTTAAACACGAAATAAGAGAGTTACATCTGTTGTTTCTGTCTGTTTGGAAACATCCGTCTGAGCCAAGGAGACTCCCTGAGGACGGTGGGAACCCTGGGAATTGCAGACGCCCCTACAAAGGGCAGCCCGGGGAGGCCGACTCAGGCCGAACACACCCGCTAGCATGAACCACTCTGATTGGCTCGACTGACCCTAGGCATCCAATCGGCGTAGCGTTTGTTGCGCAGCCGCGGCGACCTGGGTACACAAGTGGCCTGGCAGAGCTGCGGGTGGGCGACCGGGCCATGAACCTAGGGTAAGCGGGCGGGGACACCCTGGGCTGCAGGGCGGCGGGCGCGGGGACGGCGGTCGAGCGCGGGCTGTGGTGGCGCAGCGCCCCGGAACGGGGACGGCGCCCCGGAGGGCGAGCAGCTCCGGTCGCCACCGATGCCCTGCACCAAGCTGGGGCACCCCGGGCTGGGGCAGGACTGAGTCTGGGCGTGGTCTTCATTTCAGAAGTTCATCGTTTTTACCGGCTACCAAACCGGGATGTAGCCGCGCATCCAGAAGCTGGACGTTAGGTTCTCATGTGGGAGTTTATCCTGCCCCCGGGAGGAGAGGTAGGATAGGGTACTAGCAACTTCGGTTTCATTCAAGATGTTGCCTTATAACGTAAACATGAGCTGTTCATAGCCCTGCTACCGGATGCCTCAAACAAGCTTTCTCCCAGATTGTTTGCTTTAACAAACCAAGGCACTTTGATTCCTCTATCAAAGCAACACTGACCGAGTTCAGCTTTGCTAGTTAGACCTTGGTTTGATATTTTCTCTTTAACATCACCTTTGTCTTCGTTGCTGTTCATGGACACATTACCCATCCATCCCCAATAAAATAATGAAATACTGTGTGTGATCCCACCAGTGGAGTTGTGATGATTAACTTAATAGACAAGAGAAGTTTTGCTGGTAGCGTTTACCGTTTTTATATGTTGGTGCCTTTGACATGTAAAGTGTTGTACTAGCCAACGTTTCTTGTGCACTTATTATGATAGTAAAAACAAAGAGGCAATAAAGCATTCATGTATCATATGAAATATGCCCAAACTGGCATATTTAAGCAGCTGTCACCTTGGTGACCATTTTAAACATTTCCACGTGCTTGCAACCCTCCTTAGAATAGTCAGTCATGAACCATTACAAAACTAATAAATGGCATATCAGTGTCTTACACCTTGGTAAGTAGTTTGTGGCAGTAGCATGGGATTTTTGGTATAGAGCTACTGGTTAAAGGATGCTGTTATAACCTAATTTCTTTATTCCTTACCAGTAGCAAAAATCATGTTTCAGGTTAAAAATGGCAAACGCTTGCCTCACTGAGAAGTTATAAGTCTTTTCCTGTGATTTTTTTTCCTCTTTAGTTGAAAAATCCTTTCTAGATATTTATTTTAATTATGTGTGTATGGGTGTCATGTCTGCACATAAGACTATGGGTCACTTGTGTGCCTGGTGCCCTTGAAGGCCAGAGAGGTGGTTGTTAGCTACAGCGTTGGTTCAGCTCTTTAAAAAATACTCTAAAATATAAAGACTACTTTGGAGAGGGGTTCAGGCAGGAGGATCAGGAATTCAAAGCCAGCATGGCCTACATTAGTGAGGGTGAGGGCATCGTGGACTATATGACTATAGAGAAACAAAACCCCTGCTTTGATGGTCACATGATTCCTATATACAGTCAGAGGAATAGGTTTACTTTCAAGGTTCATATAAATATTTCTGGTTGCTATTAAAGTGTCGAAATCAATTTCTTTTTATATTGCAGAGATGGCTTAAAGCTTGAAACTGAATTACTGGATGGAAAAACCAAGCTGATACTGTCTCCATATGGTATGCTGTGTTATTGGAAGTCTAAAATGTTTAAGTTTGTGTGTAGAACATGTAGTAGTTTGGCAGACATTTTGCTTGTGATACAGTTAAATGACACTTGGAAAAAGCTTTTTCTCTTAAGTGTCTTTGAATTGATGTTTATCCGAGTAAAATCAGATTGCGACAGTGATTGCTGTTGTCCGTTTTGGTTCATAAAATGTATTCCATCTGTCATGTTTTTGATGCTAGCATACCTTCTTGCTGAATCAGTAATGCAGGTGGAGTTTAGAAAATTATGTGCTTTGCATGTTACCAAACTATTGTTTGAGAAAGTTATATTTATATTAATATAGCCATAATTGCTAAAGTATTTATTATTAGTAGTATTATTTGTTAGTTTTGAAACTCAGTATAGTTTTCAGTCTTCTCCATGAAGTTACTTGCCTACTCCCCACACGTGGGTTTGTAGTCTTGCCCTGGGAAGGTAACTGAAACAAAGATGAAATGGAGGTCACTACTTGAACCACCACATTGTAAAAGTTGGACTACTCAAGTGGGGCTTAATGCTTTTGGGCTGGTATTTTTATTGTCATCTTAAACAGCACTGAACGTTTTCTTTTGTCACCTATGCTTTGGGTTTATAGTTTAGTAATTTTATTTTCTTTTGTAGAACATAAATCAAAAGTTTCTGTGAAGGTAAGTTAAGTGATTTTTGACCCTACATGTTTCCATGTGTGAAATGTTTACTTTCATTAGTTCTAAGTGTTGAGGCAGGGTCTCTGAGTTGTACCCAGAACCAGCCAGTCTAGTCAATCTGGGCAGCTTTCTCTAGAGGATTTCCTGCCTCTGCTTTCTGAGCGCTGGGATTACAGGCTGGTCTTCATATGCGCCCAGCATTCATGTGTGCTCTGAGCATCTGAATACTGCTCCTTGAAGTTTTGTAACAAGCACTTTAATCACTGGGCAATCTCCCCAACCAGAACTTTGTCTTGATGGTATAAGAAGTAGTCATAGAACTTGGTTTAAAAAAGAAAAGAAAAGAAAAAAAACGGTGTGTAGTAATAAGGAGCGGCGGGGCTGCGTCCCCGGCACCCCAGCCGCCTGCTCGGCTAGCTTATGCCCCGAAATAATTACACGGACACTGTATTCTTTTAAACACTGCTTGGCCCATTCTCTTCTAGGCTAATTCTCACATATTAATTTAGCCCATTTCTAATCATCTGTGTATGGCACCCCAAGGTGCGCTTACCAGGAAGATTCTAGCCTATGTCCATCCTGGGTCGGAGCTTCATCCCGGGAGCGGGGCATGGCGTCTCTCTCAGGCGTTTGCTCCGGAGAGGAGAGCTGTCGAGACTCTGAGCTCACTTCCTCTTCCTCCCAGGCGTTCTGTTCTGTTTACTCCACCTACCTATGTCCTAACCAATAAAATGGGCCAAGGCAGTTCCTTTATTAGCCAATGACCTTCCTCCATCAAACAGTGTACTATGAAAAGGTGTTTATGACATAATCTCATCCATTAAGCTCTTGGGAATGATATGGGCTCTGTTGTTTTTTTTTGCTAAGAAACCTGAGCATAACAACTTTTATGGGTAAGGTTTTGTTTTTGTTTTTTTCCAGTCTCCTTTTATTATTCCTCTTTGGTTCAGAATTAACTAAGTATATCTTGATATAATATGTCATGGTTTCCTGTGTAATAGCCCTTCCTGACTGTTCTAGAACATTCACTTCATAGACCAGGCTGGCCTCGAACTCACAGATATCCCCCTGCCTTTGCTTCCAGAGTGCTGGGATTAAAGACATGCGCCCCCACTTCCCAGCTGAGGTTTTGGGTTTTGGTTATGTTTTAAGAAGACCTTTTCTGTATAACACTTCTGGCACAACTGGAATATGGCAAAATAATCCTTGTCACTGGACTGCAGTCAGTAGGTTTGTGTCCAGCAGGGATTTCCAGCAGCGTGAAGCTCCACATGGCGTCCAGCTCCATTCTGGCCTCTATTGTCCTCTTCAGGAGAGGGAGACAGTGAAAAAGCTCTGCCCTTGTTCTCCAGAAGAGCGAGGTCAGGGAGATGACTACAGTGACAGAGTTGGGGGGAGCTAGAGACCAGTGTGGAACCGAGAGACGACACACACACGAGGTGACTTTGTGATTAGAAGTTCAGAGATGAGGGATTAGTTAATGAAGTTGGGAAGTATATTCCAGGCTTTCAGAAAATATTACAAAATGCCAAATTATGAAAAATAAGTTATTGTAGAAAATGGTGTACCCAGGGACACTTAGGACACAAAGCTTGTGTGGAACGTTTGAATTTTTGCTCCAATACTCAGGCTAGCAAAGAACTTCATTGTCTTCCTGCCCCCGCCACAGTGCTGGGATTTCAGGCTTACACTACAAGCTCAGCTCAGAGTAGGAATTTTGATAAGGGAGGTGGATATAATCTAGCTTCCTAGGTGGGAAAACACAGTATGTAGCCCTGTGAAGGCAGATCGATGGCCATCACTGAAACTGATTACTGGTCAGTGACAGCAGTCTAAGGAGCGCCTGGTAAGGCACTGAACTTAACCTGGTGGTCACAGGGATGACAGGGGCCAGAAGTAGTTTCTAAGGCCTGTTATGGGAGTGCACAATACTTAGGAGTTTGAATGAGGTGATGTTTAAAGAAGTAAAGTGCCCAACGATGACACTGTCTCGTGAGTGAAGACAGCAGAGAGCAGCATTCCAGCGGCTGGAGATGGTGTGAGCTGGTGGCTGGGGTCACCTGGTGGAACCATGTGCAGTGTTTGATAATTTGATTGATAAAGTGACTTTTGAAAAACTAAAAGGACTTGGTTTTGAGGTGTTTTGTTTTGAGAAGAAGTTGGGAAGTATATTCCAGGACTATAGAAAATATTACAAAATGCCAAATTATGAAAAATAAGTTACTGTGGAAGATGTTGTACCTTGGGGACATATAGGACATAAAGTTTACCTTTATATCTCCACACAGCCCTGGCTGTCCTGGAACTCACAAGATGCACCTGCCTCTGCCTCCTGAGTGCTAGATTAAAGGGGTAAACCACACTTGGCTCTAAAATGACTTGTTTATGCCTAAAAATGAGAATCTGAAATCTGGCATTCTTGAATTTCTTGAACTATTGGAGGATCTTACAGCTAGGCTGTATCCTGTACAAGAGTGCAACAGAGCTAGGAAAGTACGGTGGCATCCTTTAGGTGAGAGAAATGCCCTGGAGATCATGCCAATTTCCATCTGGTCTAACCTATTCACCCATCATTTAGACAGTTATATTGTAAAAGCTCCAGGGATGCAAAAGCAAAAAGGTACCCAGATGCTGGAGTTATCCAAAACCTGCAGCCAGCAGCTGGAGAGATGGCTCAGTGGCTAAGAGCACTGACTGCTCCTACAACAGGGCAGCTCATACCCATCTGTAACTCCAGTTCCAGGGGATCTCACACTTCTTCTGACCTCATAAACATAAACTCAGGCACACATACATAAAATATATATTTTTAAAAACAATCAAAACCTAGAGCCAGGAATACACAAGTGAGGGGTTTGCTTAGTATATGTGACAGACTGCAGATTAAAGAATGGAAAAGAAAGGATTGTTAGGAAGGAAATGAGCAAGCGGGGTGGTGCTAGGATGGGCAGGTAGTCGAGCCCAGCATGTGTAAACAGTACTTAGGATTGGGATGTGGGAGAGAATGGGCTAGAAAGAAGGAGTGATAGTCTTTATCTAGAACTTGGAATTGTGGAGCGCTTGCAGTTGTGGGTTCTTACAGGGTCAATATAAGATCACTGGGGTCACAGTGTAACATCAGGGACACTGGGGAATTGATGTGGGAGAGTCTTCTGTTTTGTGTTGATTTCATTGGTTAATAAAGAGACTGCCTTGGCTCTTTGATAGGACAGAAAATTAGGTAGGCGGAGTAAACAACAAAATGCTGGGAAGAAGGGAAGTTAGGCAGACACCAAGGATCCAGCCACCAGGTCAGACAGTGCTGAATCTTTCCCAGTAAGACAGCACTTCGTGGTGCTACACAGGTTATTAAAAATGGTTAATCAAGATGTGAGAATTAGCCATTAGGGGCTGGAACTATTGGGCCAGGCAGTGTTTAAATGAATACAATTTGTGTGTTGTTATTTCGGGTGTAAAGCTAACCATGCAGGAGCCAGGCGGGATGAAAAACAGGCCTGCCCGCAGCTCCTTCTACAGGGAATGAGTGAGGCCATCTGGAGAATATTGGATGAGTATCAGGAAGTGACTGCCAGAAGCGTGGAAGAATTCTATGTGGCTGTGACCACGATAGTAATTCACACGGGACTGGAATTGGTGAGTGTGGCCGAGCAGCTAAGATAGTCAAGGGATAAGGACTGGTAACCTCAAAGAGAGTGTGAGTTACATAATTTACTGGTACAAAATTCAAAGCTGGCATATGAAGATGACCTATAACATACAATTTTATTTGTGTTCTCTATTACCTAGAGTTAAAATAATTTCTCATTGTTGAGTCTTCAAAGGGAAAGTTTGCACAGGTAAACACTATCTTATGGCTATAGTACCTAATTAATAGCATAATGAAATGCTTAGAGGCCTGGTTTATCACAGATTTTAAGCATAAAGATGATGTTAGCCAGATGTAGTGGTTCATACTTGCAGTCTCAGAAGAGATGAGGGGATCAAGGCCAGCTTAGGCTGCATAGCAAAACTGTGTCTCCAGACAGAAAGGAACAGGTCAGTTTTTTTCATATACTGTCATAAAGAATAAACTTGTGTTTTCACAGATGGGAAATAAGATCAAGATTGCAAAATGTCCTTTAAGAATAAAACAGACTGGACACATTCTAAGATCAACACAGAATTCTTACACTGGGAGTGAAAACGTTTTTCAAAAGAAGTTAATCAGTTCAGAATCTTCACAGGCAAGATCTGAGAAAAGCAGATTACCGTTTTCACCGTCTCAGGGTTCATGTCAGCAGCATGCAGAAAAAGACTGTCTTCATTTCCCGAAAGAGTCTTCACCTGCAGCCTCTACCGTCCAGAAGATTATAAACACCGCAGATAAATGCCGAGTGGCTCAACAGAAGCCTTGCAAAACACACGTCAGCGAAAACATGAACAGCAGCGTGGTGTGTCTAACCCAAGACCAACTACAGCAGATTTTGATGAGTGTGAGCCAAGGAAGTGGATCTGTGTCCCTAGCTGAAAATGGAACGGAGGAGAAAGCAAGTAAGATTCTTCTTAAACCTTGTTAACTATTAATTTTCCCAGTATGTACTTATGTATTTCAGATTCATTGGCTGCTTTTGAGACTGTCTCTTGAAATCTGATTTAACATGCAATGACCTTTTGTTTTTTTGGAGGGAGGGTGTTACAAGACAGGATTTCTCTGTGTAGCCCTGACTGTCCTGGAACACGCTCTGTAGCCTAGCCTGGCCTCAAACTCACAGAGATCCGCCTGCCTCTGTCTCCCGAATGCTGGGATTAAAGGTGTACACCACCATACATTAGGCCTTACATAAAATATGTAAAACTGCTTTATAATGTTGCCATATGTTAAGATTAATGCTTAAAATATTTTTTTCTTTCTTTCTCCTCCCTCCCTCCCTCCCTCCCTTTCTTTCTTTGTCAGGGTCTCTTTATGTAGCTCTGGTCTGGTCCTGGAGCTTTGTACATAGATCAGGCTGGTGCTCAGACTCACGAAGATCCATCTGCCTCTGCCTATTGAGTGCTGGGATTAAAAGCCTTTGACACTGTGCCTGGCCTCAAAATAATCTTAAAAGCTGGTTTGGGGGCTGGAGAGATAGCTCAGTAGTTAAAATATTTATATAAGCCAGCAATGGGGTTTAGCCTTATAGTCCCTGAACTCAGCAGATTGGGGCAGGAGTACACAAACTGAGGCAAGCTTGAGCCACACAGTGGGAACCCATTTCAAAAACAAAAAATTACACGCAAGGGTTTAAAAAGATAAGCCTCTGATATTGAAGGGAATCTTAAGACACCTTGCTGTGAAGACTTGAGTTTCTGAAAGACCATGTTCTAGTTCCTGTTTGTGATTCCTGGCTTCCCTCCATCCCTGCTGAGGTTGGCTATACTGTTCTTTCACTGGTATAAATCAGATGTATTCCTAGAAGAGTATTGTAGGCTTTCTGTTCCGCCAATCAGGGTTTTGTTTTAAAAGCCCACTGTCAGCTCTGAGCTCAGGCATTGTGACTGTGAAGGTACTCAGATACCATGGAAGGGTCACGCAGGCAGCTTGGGTGCAGGGGAGCTTCTGTGTGCTCCCGTCTGTGCAGAGTGGGGTTCCTTCTCCCCGTCTAGATATCTGTAAAATAAAGGAAGCTGGCTTTCTCTAGGTCAGAATTGTAGCTCAGAACTGAATAGGTATAAGGAGAGTTAATACCAGTAGAGTTAAGACATTTTACTTAATCCTGAGGTAACTTGCATTTTAGATGCTCCCTCTTCTAAGAGAAATGACACATTCAGGAGGGATCACACGGATGTTTAAGCTAGAACATGAACTTTTTGTACAAGACTTGATTTAATTATGGTAGCTGGGCACATAGACTACAGTTCACAGAAAACTTCCACAGATAAAGAAGAAAAACAAGGTCATGGTTGTTGTTTTTTTAATAAATTTATTTATTCATTTATTTTACATCCCAGCCACAGTTTCCCCTCTCTCTTCGCCTCCCAGTCTCTCCCTCCATCCCCTCTCTGTTCCCACCCCCCAAACCATTATTCCTCCATTTATTTATGGGAGGTCATGGTTTTAATTAAACTATTTGCATTTGCCTCTCTCTGTATTGTGATTTATATTATAGTTATATATAATTACAAATTACATGTAATTTTAAATTATATAAATTAAGCTATAAATATAAATTATTTTGGCAAGAGTGAATGGAGGTGTTTTGTTTTGTAACTAGGCTGGCTTCAAACTCAGGACATAGCTGAAGATTGACCTTCTGCCTTCCTGCCTCCACCTCCTGAGCTTTTCAACATAGCTATGCTCCACCTTACTGGTTCGTGCAATGCTAGAGATGGAGTATACTGGGTTGGCATACAAGCAAGCATTTCGCTGTGTTCTAGACAAGCTTAGTGGTATTCCCAGCCCTGATTCTTCTGTCTTGGCTTTGGTTTTGTTGTTGTTGTAAAAAGTCATACAGCTGTGACAAGGAGTCAGCTGTTTAACCTCTGGGCCTCAACTTTCTCTTTCTCTTGATTATTGTTTGGGGTAAGGGTCTCATGTAGGTCAGCCTGGCCCCAGTCTACCAGTACCCTGTCTCACACGAGAAGATCCTGTCAGTCTGTTTTTGCTGTTGTTTCCAGGGTCGTCTTGAACTCCTCCCAGCTTTCCTTCCCTTGCCTCCCAAGTGCCAAGACTCTAGGTTTGCTACGTGCTGGATTATGTGGTGCTGGGGTCAGCCTAAGGCTGTGTTCGTGCTGGATTATGTGGTGCTGGGGTCAGCCTAAGGCTGTGTTCGTGCTGGATTATGTGATGCTGGGGTCAGCCTAAGGCTGTGCTCGTGCAAGGCAGGCACTCAGCTGACCGGGCTGTCAGCCTTTGTTTTTGAGATGCTATCACGTAGCTGAGTGATGTGGGAGTGTCATCTATCTGTTGCTTTCATTGGTTAATTAATAAAGAAACTGCTTAGCCTTTGATAGGCCAGCCCTTAGGTGGGTGGAGTAGACAGAACAGAATTCTGGGAGAAAGAAAGCAGAGTCAGGCAGTAGCCATAGCTCTCCTCTCTGAGATGGATGCAGTTAAGAATATTCCCGGTAAGACATCAACCTTGTGGTGTTACACTCATTAGAAATGGGTTAATCAAGATGTGAGAGTTAGCCAGTAAGACGCTAGAGCTAATGGGCAAAGCAGTGTTTAAAAGAATACAGTTTCTGTGTAATTATTTCAGGGCATAAGCTAGCCAGGCGGCCGTGAGCTGGGACGCAGGGCAGCCCGCAGCTCTTTCTACAGCTGAGGCTGCCTTAACTTCTGATTCCCTTGCTCTGTCTCCTGAGTGCCAGGATTACAGGTGTGCGCTATCATTCCCAAGAGTCAGGCTCTAACTGTGTAGCCAGGGCTGGCCTGAAACAGGTTGGCCTACCTCTGCCTCCTGAGTGCTGGGACTAAAGGTTGGCGCTTCCACACTTCCCTGTTTTCATTTATTTATTTATTTATTTTGAGACAAGATCTTACTCTGCATCCTAGGCTGGCCAAAGACTTGGTATGTTGTCCAGACTGGCCTCAAACTCCGAGTGATCCTCCTGCCCCGGCTTCCTGAGTTATACCTGAGGGTTATGGGTATGAGCCATCATGCCTGCTAAGACTTTTCTTTTGACTGGATATTAGGATGATTTTAAAACATGTGTGATTTTAAAACATGTGTTTTATTTCCTAGGCCAAGACAGTTTCCAGTTGATCAGTGCCCCTAGCCAGCTGAAGGGTGTGAATGCCACAGGGTCACTGCAGAAGACGGAGGCCGTCTCACCTGTCTCAGATGAAGGGAAGTGTGTCCTCAGTAGAGCTCAAGAGGCCCTTCAGCAGTGTGAGCAGAAAATGGCCATGTATGTGACTCACATGTGTTTCTCGGGTATTTGGAGAATATGTATTTGCCTGTCCATTGCATGTGAAGTGCTCTGAAGATGTGGCCGTCAGTCACATGGAAACATAATGATAAGGCTCCTTGGTTCCTGTGTGTGTTCTATCTTAGAGAGAGTGAGTGGAAGCCAGCTGACATATTCAGTACTCTGGGGGAACGGGAGCGCGATAGAAGCTTGTTGGAAGCCAGAAGAGTGCAGTGGAAGAAAGAGCTGGGTAATTTATATGCTTTTTGGTATAGGTCTGTTGGCCCATGGGGTACTTGGTTACTTTTTAGTACATTAGCAAGTTTGGTTCAATATGAGCAGTGTGCCTCTAGCATCCTCCTGGAGTCCTGCAAGTAGTCCTGGACCTTTTCTGTTTGTGTCTCTGTGTGTGTGTGTGTGTGTGTGTGTGTGTAGGTCAGAGAACAATTTGTAAGGGTCAGTTCTCTTCTTCCACTGTTGGGATTGGATTTAGGGTGTCAGACTTGGTGACCAGTGAGCCATCTCACCAGCCTATAACTCCAGTTCCTATTTTACCTTCAGAAGTTAGTGGGAACTGAGAACATCCTGCCCTGAAATAGGTGATATATTGCCGAATTTTACAGAAGAAACCAAGGTTTAGCGTAAAAAATAGCAGTGTATCTGTTACTCATCAGGAAGAAGTTGAGCTTGGAGTTGACCCTAAAGTTAGGCTATGGACCTTATAAATCTGTTAGTAATAATAACATAGAAAGGTGGAAACGCACAGCAGTTAGCACACAGTATTCTGAGAAATTGTTTCACCTTACTATCTCTGTAATAAAAACATTCTGTCTATGCTGTACTTAAGTTTAACTCTAATTCAATGTTTTCTTTTATCCCACATCCTTCAAAGTTCCTTTCTGCCTTGTGAGTCATCTTCTCCCAAGCAAACTACTTTGATTAACTGCTACATTTTGTACTCCTTAAGGTCGTGATTTGTTTACATGATTCTTTTTTTTACAGTTTTTATATGTATTTTTTAAAAAGGACATTATTTATAGATGAACAGGTTGCCTTAAAAAAGAAAGAAAAAGAAGCTTCTCAAAAATGGAATGATCCTTGGACAAAATCTGAACTAGAATGTGAGAAACTTCACATCCTTGACCAGGCTAAGGTAAGAATATCACATTCAGTCAAGCATTCTTTTTTTTATTGATAAGTATTGAGCTCTGCATTTTTCTCTGTTCCCCTCCCTGCCTCTTCCCTCCACACTGCAACCCTTGCCCAAGGTCTCCAGCTCCCAGTTTACTCAGGAGATCTTGTCTTTTTTTTACTTTCTACTTTCCATGTAGATTAGATGTATGTAAGTCTCTCTTAGTGTCCACATTGTGGTCTAAGTTCTCTGGGATTGTGATTTGTAGGCTGATTTTCTTTGCTTTATGTTTAAAAACTACCTATGAGTGAGTACACATGATAATTGTCTTTCTGCGTATGCGTTACCTCACTCAAAATAATGTTTTCTAGCTCCATCCGTTTCCTGCAAAATTCAAGCTGTTGTTATTATTTTCTGCTGTGTAGTACTCCATTGTGTAAATGTACCATGTTTTCCTTATCCATTCTTCGGTCAAGGGGCATTTAGGTTGTTTCCAGATTCTGGCTATGACAAACAAAGCTGCTATAAACATAGTTGAGCACATGTCCTTGTGGCACAATTGAGCATCCTTTGGATATATACTGAAAAGTGATATTACTGCGTCATGAGGAAGGGTGTTTCCTGATTTTCTGAGAAATCGCCACATTGACATCCAAAGGGATTGTACCAGCTTGCATTCCCACCAGCAATGCAGAAGTGTTCCTTTTCCCCCACAACCTCTCCAGCATAAGTTGTCATCAGTGTTTTTGATCTTGGCCATTCTTACAGGTGTAAGATGGAATCTCAGAGTTGTTTTGATTTGCATTTCTCTGATGTCTAAGGATGTTGAACATTTCCTTAAGTGTATTTCAGCCATTTTAGATTCCTCTGTTGAGAGTTCTCTGTTTAGATCTGTACTCCATTTTTTATTGAATTATGTGTTCTTTTGGTGTCCAATTTCTTGAGTTCTTTGTACATTTTGGAGATCAGACCTCTGTCTGATGTGGGGTTAGTGAAAATCTTTTCCCATTCTGTAGGCTGTCGTGTTGTCTTATTGACCATGTCCTTTGCTTTACAGAAGCTTTTCAGTTTCAGGAGGTCCCATTTATTAATTGTTTCTCTCAGTGTCTGTGCTGCTGGAGTTCTATTTAGGAAGTGGTTCCCTGTGCCAATGAGTTCAAGTGTACTTCCAACTTTCTCTTCTATAAGGGCCACCTTATAGCCCCTCCTGGCATAGAGGTGCAGTGGGAACAGTTTGGAGCTTTTCGGAGCAACTGCGAGGAGATGGGAAAGCCCTTTCCATCCAGACGAATGTTTCAGGTTAGGGAGAGGCTGTGGACAGGTCCTAGGACGAGGCCCTTGTTGGGAGAATCTTCGAAATCACTTGACTGGAGGAGAAGACCTCTTTCATCTTGAACAGTTGTCCCTGAGCTAAGGTCTACCTCAGAGAAGGATGTGGAAAACTAAGCACCATTGCCCATCTTTGTACGTCCTGGGTGGTCAGGTAGTGGCAAGTGGGGCATATGGATGCAGAAGAAAGCTGTAGCCTGTAGTATTTCCTCCGAGCTGGGCATGGCGGTACACGGGGATACATGCACCGTGTATTAGATGCTATGGAGATACAGCATCTCAGATAATGAAACAAAACCCAGTGACATGTTCACTCCAAGTGCTGCCTCTGCTATCACAACTCCCCTAGAGCAGCCAGAGCTACCCCAGCTGCTTGGATCCCACACTCCTTTGAATGATAGATCCATACTGCAGCAGGAGCGTTCATCCCCTGCTAGGCTGCCGACTCCAGGTGTCGCCTCTTGTTCTTTGCCCCAGTAGGTGCCTGATCAGTGGGAACAGCTCTGAGGTGTGAGGGTGGTGGCAGTGAGACAGAAGAGCACCTTGTTGAGATGGGAATAGGGAACCTGAGTCTGGGCTAAATACGACCAATGGGAGCTTCCAAGAGCCAGGGGTGGCCCTGGGGAAGGCTTTCTCTGTGGTTCCATTTCGGTTGCTCCATGCTAGTCCACCTGTCTTGCGAGGGGGAGGGGCTTCTGTCCCTGGGCCCCAAACTTGCCTCCCCCTCATGCTTAACTTTCCTCCCCCATCACTGCACCCAGCTTATGCCTGATTCTAGGCTGCAGATGGAGGAGTCTCCTTGGTGAGGTAGAAATCCTGATGTGTGTTGCCTTTGAAGGCAGGTAGGATAGCCAAGTGCTTAGGACGTTCTGGGTACTTAAGTTTAGAAAGGCTTTGCTTGTTTGCAGCCTGGGAGCCGAGGTGGAACGAGAGTCTGTGCACAGCTGGGGAGCCCCACTTCTCCTGGGAGACACTTTATTTTTTTTTTTTCATTTTTTAATTGATATTTATTGAGCTCTACATTTTTCACTGCTGCCCTCCCTGCCTCTCCCCTGCCCTCTACAACCCTCCCCCAAGGTCCCCATGTTCCCAATTTACTCAGGAGATCTTGTCTTTTTCTACTTCCTACTTCCCATGTAGATTAGATGTATGTAAGTCTCTCTTAGTGTCCTCATTGTTGTCTAAGTTCTCTGGAATTGTGGTTTGTAGGCTGGCTTTCTTTGCTTTATGTTTAAAACCCACCTCTAAGTGAGTACATGTGATCATTGTCTTTCTGTGTCTGGGTTGCCTCTCTCAAAATAATGTTTTCTAGCTCCATCCATTTTCCTGCAAAATTAAAGCTGTTGTTATTATTTTCTGCTGTGTAGTACTCCGTTGTGTAAATGTGCCACATTTTCCTTATCCATTCTTCGGTCAAGGGGCATTTAGGTTGTTTCCAGGTTCTGGCTATGACAAACAAAGCTGCTATGAACATAGTTGAGCACATGTCCTTGTGGCACAATTGAGCATCCTTTGGATATATACCCAAAAGTGGTATTTCTGGGTCTTGAGGAAGGTTGTTTCCTAATTTTCTGAGAAATCACCACACTGACATCCAAAGGGGCTGTAACAGCTTGCATTCCCACCAGCAATGCAGAAGTGTTCCCTTTTTCCCACAACCTCTCCAGCATAAGTTGTCATTAGTGTTTTTGATCTTGGCCATTCTTACAGGTGTAAGATGAAATCTCAGAGTTGTTTTGATTTGCATTTCTTTGATGACTCTAAGAATGTTGAAAATTTCCTTAAGTGTCTTTCAGCCATGTTAGATTTCTCTGATAAGTTCTCTGTTTAGGTCTGTACTCTATTTTTTTTTTATTGGATTATGTGTTCTTTTGGTGTCCAGTTTCTTGAGTTCTTTGTATATTTTGGAGATCAGACCTCTGTCTGATGTGGGGATAGTGAAGATCTTTTCCCCTCCTGTAGGCTGCCGTTTGTTGACCATGTTGAAGTCTTTGAAGAATTTTGCTGGGCATTGTGTTGAATCTGTAGATTGCTTTAGGTAAGATTGCCATTTTTTACTATGTTAATTCTGCCTACCCATGAGCATGGGAGAACTTTCCACTTTCTGGTGTCTTCTTCAATTTCTTTCTTCAAAGATTTAAAGTTCTTATCATACAAGTCTTCCACTTGTTTGGTTAGAGTTACTCTGGGATATTTTATGCTATTTGTGGCTATTATGAAGGGTGTTGATTCTCTGATTTCTTCCCAAGCCCTTTTATCATCTGTGTACAGGAAGGCTACTGATTTTTTTTTTTACTTAATCTTGTATCCTGCTATATTGCTGAAAGTGTTTATGAGTTGTAGAAGTTCCTTGGTAGAATTTTTGGGATCACTTATGTAAACTATCATACCATGAACAAACAGTGAGAGTTTGACTTCTTCTTTTCCAATTTGTATCCCTTTGATCTCCTTTTGGTGTCTTACTGCTCTAGCTAGGACCTCAAGGACTATATTGAATAGATATGGAGAGTGGACAACCTTGTCTTGTTCCTGATTTCAGTGAAATCATTGAGAGTTTCTCTCCATTTAGTTTGATGTTGGCTGTTGGCTTGCTGTATATTGCCCTAATTATGTTCTTGGATTCAATTTCCCAGTATTTTATTTAGTATTTTTGCATCAATGTTCATGAGTGAGATTGGTCTGTAATTCTCTTTCTTAGTAATGTCTTTCTGTGGTTTAAGTATCAGGATAATTGTAGCCTCATAAAAAGAGTTTGGCAATGTTCTTTCTGTTTCTGTTGTATGGAATAATTTGAGGAGAATTGGTATTAGTTCTTCTTTGAAAGTCTTGTAGAATTCTGAGCTGAAACCATCTGGTCCTGCGCTTTTTTTTTTTTGGTAGACTTTGATGACTGTTTCTATTTCTTCAGCAATTATAGGTCTGCTTAATTTGCTTATCTGGTCTTGATCTAATTTTGGTAAGTGATATTTATCCAGAAAGTTGTCCATTTCAAGTTTTCCAATTTTGTGGAGTACAGGTTTTCAAAATATGACCTGATAATTATCTGTATTTCCTCCATGTCTGTTGTTATGTCCCCCTTTTCATTTCTGATTTTGTTAATTTGGATATTCTCTTTCTGCCTTTTGGTTAGTTTGGATAAAGGTTTGTCTATTTTGTTGATTTTTCTCAAAGAACCAGCCTTTGTCTCATTGATTCTTTGTATTATTTTCTTTGTTTATATCTTCTTGATTTCAGCTCTCAATTTGATTATTTCCTGCTGTCTAGTTCTCTTAGGTGAGTTTGCTTGTTTTTGTTCTAAAGTTTTCAAATATTCTGTTAATTCACTAGTGTGAAATTTTTCCAGCTTCTTTATGTAGGCGTTTAGTGCTATGAACTTTCCTCTTAACACTGCTTTCATTATGTCCCATAAATTTGGGTATGTTGTGTGGTCATTTTCATTGAATTTTAGGAAGTCTTTAATTTGCCCCTTTATTTCTTCCTTGACCCATTGATGAGTCAGGTGAGCATTGTTTAATTTCCATGTGTTTGTGGGCTTTCTGGAATTAGTATTGCTGTTGACTTCTAGTTTTATACCATGGTGATCTGATAAGGTATTGGGTTAATCCAATTTTTTTTATATTTGTTGAGGTTTGTTTTGTTACTGAGTATGAGAAGGCTCCATGAGGTTCTGAGAAGAAGGTATATTCTTTTCT